CGGGTCGGGCGCTGCGGCGGGAGCCGGCGGGCTGGAGGCCCCCGCGGGAGCGGGGCTGGAGGTAGGTAGGATTTCTTGGACTGTCCCCTCGCAAGTTTCCCCAGGGCAGAGATTCCCGCCGCGTCCCCTTGTGCCACTGTGGGGCTCGGGAGCGAGATCAGGGGGTGCCCCGCTCCCGTGCTCCCATCCCAGTCCCCCTCCCCCAGCGTTGGCAAGCGCCGCCTGCCCGGTCCAGCGCGGCCGGGCTCTGTCCCAGTGCCTCAGCTCCCCTGCTCCCCGCCCCCAGCTGCCCCCGGCATCCTGTGCATCCAGCTCCTGTGCTGCGCCGGGTGCTCCCTGCCGAAGGAGAAGGGGCACCGCCATGGGGTGCCACTGGCTGAGCCACCGGGGACAGACCCACCCTGCTTCTGGGTCACCTGCCGCCCGGGAACTTCGGAGGGCTGTGACATTCCCTGGCCAAGTAGCACCCCCGTTTCCCAAATGGGGAAACTGAGGCAGAGCACAGGGACCTTCCTGCTGTCTGTTGCAGTGTTACAGGGCTGATGACTTGCCTGCCTTCTACTTGACTTCAGATTAACACGGCTAACCATGCCGCAGTGCTAGAACTGGGAGCTCAGCCTCTGGGTGCTTCGTCCCGTGGGCTGACCGCCCTGAATCGGTTGGCCACACTGCATGTTTTCAGCCGGAGCTCAGCAGCAGGGTAGCAGGAGAGACAGGCTGTGTTCCAACCTCTGCTACAGTCTTGCTGCACAACTTTGGGCAACTCACTTCAGCTCTGGGCCTCTGTTTCCCTCTTACTCTTACCCTATGTACACAGATTGCAAGATTTTGGGGGTAAAGAGTCACTGCATGCAGTGTGTGCATGTGTGCTGCGCAAAGGGTCCCCTCCCCCGGGGCTGCAGTTTCCAGCTGCTCCATAATACAAGCACAGCATAGTAACCTTGCAGCACCCCAGGTTCTGCAATATTGTTCATTTCTAGGTTTAGAAGTGATCACATGCAACATATACAGAAAGAGCAAGCAACTATTTCTCAGACTGGTACTGAGGGAAAGCCAGCTTTATTTTTACCGTGCTGCACCACATGTTGAATGTTTGAGTGCATGAACCAACGTTCATAAAGAACAGCTCAGGTGTTCTTGATTTATATGGACATAGTGCTGCTTCCGTTGTGAACAGTTCAGATGGCAAGATAGACTCCATCTCCAGTGGGTAAGAGATCCACTGCTAATTCCCACAGGAAGGGACCCCCATGCCTCTGACTTCTCCAGCCTGTAAAGCCTGTTTGGGATCCTCTGCAGTTTCAGCTCCGGAAATCCAGAGAGGTTTAGAAACAGACATAGCCTTTGAAGTCTAAGCTTTGGGCTTTTTAAAATAAAATCGCCTGTTTTTTAATGAGCAACAACATCTCCCCTTTACATCCATTCCCCAGCCCTGAGAAACAACCCAATTCAGCTGCCGTCAGAGACAGCGGGGATCTTACCTCTAACTCTTTCAATGAAATGGCTTGTAGTTACAGGTAACTTTTTTTTTAACCACATTGACTGCACCTCTCAGAGGATATTGTTGGTCCAGCCCAGAGGCTCAAAAGGCCTAAGAACTCCAGGCTGCCGTCATTCAGGGATCCTGATACTGTGCCTAGGGCCTTGGAACAGAGAGCTACTGGCACTCTGAAAATAAATGCTTATGGTTCAGCTGAAGAGAAAAGATAAGGAGAGTGCCTTGCATCCACCTCTGGGGCCCTGCTTCACCATAAAGTGTCACACACATATAGCAGGGTCTGGTCACAAAGTGTTGGACCTTTCTGGACCCATGCTGCACAGGGGCCTATCCCCTGGCTAATAGTAGTAACTGTTAAGAGAGATGCAAAGTGGTGATGTGTGGAAAAAACCTCTGATGCTGGAGAGGGCTATATATCTAGCTCTAAGCTAAAGCAATCATCCAACAGATGCAGGGCACCTCAAGAAAAGCCCAGAGACATCCTGGCCGGGTGGGAAAAGGACAAGAAAGTCTGCCCGGCCTTCAAGCATTCTGTGTTGTTGATCCTTCTTTGACATTATGGAACCGTGTTGTTGAAAATCAGTCATTTCCCTCAGGGAACCACGGGTCGCAACGAGACCTTTGCAGAGCATGAGAGTGTCAGTTCAAAGAGAGTCACATGACCTAGAGATGGGGCTGAGCTACACATTTTAATAAACTTCTCCAGTCTTGGAGGAGGTGCAGATCTCAAAGCTGCTGGTTCAGGCTGACCTCGAAACAGAGTCCTCATTCCACTTCATCTGCTGCTTGGCCACCACATATCCTCTCCAGTTCTCTGGATGAATGATATCCCAAATGGCAAAGCAGGGTTTATCTAAAGCTTCCAGGATTTGCATGGAATCCATCCCAACCGCAAAGAAGCCCAGGCCCTCTGCACAGTTTGCCCAGACCTGCACAAAGGCTTTATGAGCTTCAATGGAAACCCTCAGCTAGAGCAGCAGCAGAGGTTTCAGATTGGTAAGAGAAAATGAAACTTGGAGTGTCACGCCAGGCTTATGACAAAAGCTTTACACAGGTCTACTTAGGCCCACATGAGCTTAGATACATAAATATGTATCATACATAAATATCCTTGTGGATACAAACAGCTTATTCAGATAACCAAAATGGCTCTCTCAGACCAGAGGAAGAGATGGATCATCCCTATTTAAAGATCATCTTGAATTAAAGAGGTTCATAGATGGTTATTAAGAGCCCAGTGTGCAGACTGGGACCTAAATATATGTATCATGTACAACATATATCAGAAGAATTATTGAGGGGTAGCACCTATACCATTTAATGGATAACAAATTGTTTACCAAGCCTCATTTTATAAACTGTCAAAAAAGCTCATTAGTAACATGGTGAACATAAAATTTGAATAGCAATTGAGCAATTGAGTACCACTCTCTTTTAGGTTCAAGTTCTGTCATTGAACTTTACTGCTATATCAGAATGTATCTACGCATAGACTATATTTCTGTGTAGTTACTGATATTATCGCAGATTCTAGGTATCATTTCTATGGTTAAATTTGCAAAACAGTTTTGTTTTTAATGTCCTGGGTTCAAACGTTCATAACTTTTCAAACCCTTCACTTCTTCTGAGCAGAGCCAACCCGAGCAGGGTGTGGGGCCCAGGGCAAATCGGTCCCTGTGGGGCCCCATCCTGATCCTATGCACCCCGGACCTGAAGAAGTTGCTATCGGCAGCGTCGGCGGTGTGGGGGGTAGCAAGCAGCTGGATGCAAAGCTGGTGGCAGCGGCACAGAGTCACTGCAGCGGCTCTGCCCAGCTCTGTGGGGACCCCCAAAGTGCAAAGCCTGTGGCAGTCGCCCTGATTCACACCCCCCTAGGGACGGTCGTGCTTCTGAGGATAGAATTAGCCACACTTAACATCTATGTAATGGTAGCATTTTTGATGGAGAGCAGAAGGAATTTGAGTAAAATTATTTGTGACATTTGTGAGTTATAGGAGTGACAGGAATGTACTGTTCACCACTTGAATCAACTCTAACTAGGCTTTCCTAGTTACAAGGAAAACTAAGTGAGCATGAACTTATGCCTTTAGTCTACAGGTTCAAACCAAAGACACAATAGAAATGCTTGTACAGCTAGGTAATTCTATGTTGCTTTAATCAAAGAGCTTTTAAGCCTTTCTGAAGAAGTCAGTGGAATCCTACACCAGTCAAAGGTAGTTCATCCTAGTGCAAACAGATCAAAATACTGTTTCTTATGTGCTTTCTCTAAATTATCCATTACTTGTAAGAGGCAGAACAGTGGACTAGATGGACCCTTAGTCTGAGCCAATGCGGTGATTCAGCATTCCCATTCTAGTGGTTTGTACCAGTGTGGTAGATAACACACGGTGCAGGGTGCTGAAGACTGGCCTATCAGTTAGGCCTTGTCCACATGAAGAAAAACATACATCCATGCAAATTTATTGATTAGGCATGAACTTTGAATGTTGGCAGGCTGCTCTGGTGCTGAGTGGGCCACATATCAGAGTGGCTTATTAGTAACTTAATCACATTGAAGGTACCTAGGATAAGCCCTGCATTGTGTCAGTTATGCAACTCCAGTGGGGATGGGCTCAACTACATCCATGCAGTTCTACCAGGACAATGTTTTTTAATGTTGGCAAGATGAACAGTTTCATGAACAGTCTATGTCAAGGAGCACTACACATCCTCTGCCAGCAGAATGGGGTCAGAGGAAGGGCGAGCTGAAGTGCTCTGGGTCAAGATTCAGGGGGGGCAGGGGGAGAGGGATTTGACAGTGGGGGTCTATTACAGACCCCCCAACCAAGAGGAGGAGCTGGACAGGGAATTTTCAGGTCAGCTTGCAGAGGCACTAAAATCAAGGGATGTAGTGGTCATGGGCGATTTTAATTACCCAGACATCTGCTGGGAGGAGCAGTCAGCCGGGACGGACCGCTCCA